GCTTGTGTGCTTGGTTTCAGATTTCCAATGGCGCAGTCGCTCCGCAAACGTAGCCTACTACGCTCTTTTCTCCTCTCCGACACATTTTTTTACTTTTTGTGTATATATATAATGAGCCAGTTTAAAGGCCCACCTGTTTTAATCTGTTATAAGGCCCACTTCTTTACTCAATGGATTTTTAGCAATCTGCCATTGGCCCATTAGGCGCAGTAATGTTTTGGGGGGACTTTTGAATCCGTTTAGTATTTCATAGAATCTTGGAGACATCTACACACTAAAATACTGAACTTGGAGACATCTACGCACTATGTACGTGCTTGGTAAACAACACAACATAGCTATTAAAAAATGGACAAGGAAGGCAGGCTACAAGTATCCAATTAGATGGAGAAAGAGGCAGAAAAGGAACAAGAAAGAGAGATACAAGGTGGAAGAGGAGTAGGAGGGAGCATTAGTATTGGCATTATGGGTTGGACAAGTAGGAGACAAGACAAATGATCTGCAGAGAGGGCAAGTGAGATGGCCACGGAGAAGCCAAGGTTCAATGCAATGGATATGGAAGAGATGAGCGCATCTAGGGAGATGGGTCACCACATCCTCAGCCTCAAACTCCACAAGGCATATGGGGCAGCAAATTTCCTCCTTTTCCTTGTCCCCGAACATCACACCCGTTAGGTGGTAACCGTCATCATCATGCGCTTCTGCATCTCCACACTCCTTCTTCATCCTCCAAAAGGGAATGCAAACACAAGTGTAGAATACTATGGCTGCTGTGCACAAAGGCGACCGCGGAAACAACAATGAAATCATCTCTCTTCAGCTTTCTGTTTATTCACCTCACTCTTCCCCTCTATTTTATAGACTCTCTAAGAAAGAAGATCATCGAACCTCGAATTCGGCAGTGTTGGGACGGCGCCGACTCCACCCCCCTTCTCTTTATTATATTCATTTGATGTTTTTCTTTAATCAAGTCAGCGATTCTCCCAACTCCAAGAAAACTCTCTGAGAGGTTATGGTCAACGTACGAGATGCACATGCTTCCATCTTAAGCATTACTTGATACTTGCATATTATAATAGTAATGAAAAGAGGAAAAAATGCAAGAATCACATGACACCATAAGAAACAAAACATGGCACTGAAGTGCACCACCCAACCAACTCACCTTCTTGATCCCTGAAACCTCGGATTAATCACATAACATAGTCAAGGGCATGCATATCTAGTAGATATAATTATATATATTTAAGAGCAAGGAGTCCTTCCACCAAAATAGGCCTTGACTTTAAGTTCACGTATATAATACAGCCGACCAAATCAACTAAAGATCTCCGAGTTAATCATAAAACTATTTTATTCTTGACTACAAGCCTTCACTAGACCAAACTTTTATTCAATAAAGCGCCAGTTTCTGCACAACAGACCACATCATGTCCCTCAGAGCAGCAGCTCCCTTGCAGAATGATGTAGTTTAATGCCTAGTGTATGTCACCAATACTCTGCAGATAACAGAGGATCACCATTGTTCATTAAATCGGCCAGTCACGTTCAAAGATGACTAATAAGCCTCAGCAAAATTTGACAACACAATGCTAAATATACCATTCTTCTCACTCTAGCATAACATACTAATTGAACCTGAAATCACTAATAGAATGCACGAAAACAGGTATCCGTCATGAAATACATCTACCACTACGCTTTTAGAACACAAAGGAAAAATCTTGATATCAGACTCCAAGCAGAAGGGAAAACTCACAAGTGGTAGGAAACAAGCAGATTGATTTTCTCTTTCAAGGTTATTATTACAAGTGAAGCAAACATCTTATACCTAAAGGCACCGCACAAGTGATAGGACAATCAGCAGGGTTTCTCGATTGGTTTCTTCTTGAATATGGCTTCCCAAGCCAAAGCCGGAAATGGAGCCCTTTTGTCCATGAACTCCTGGACAGCTTTTAAATCAACAGCAAGTCCTTTTTGGTTTAAGCTATGAATAGCAGACTGGGCTTGTTCGACTCCCTTTTCTCTGCACAAGGCATCAACCAATCCGACGAAAGTGGGGACATTGGGAGAGTGACCAGACTCGAGCATCTCACCACAGAAATCAAGAGCATCGTCAAGCATGTTGCAGTTGTACAATCCCTGAACCAAGACACCATAGCTGAAGGCATTAGGGGCAATCCCGTTGGCCTGCATTTTTCTGAAAATCCTCTTAGCGTCTTCAATTTTATGAGCCTTGCAAAAGCCCTCAACGACAGCAGTGTAGATAACGATCTCAGGGATGATACCCTTGTCACGCATCAACCCGAAAAGCTTCATGGCTTCCTGTACAAGCCCATCTTTGCAGAGGCCGTCAAGCATGGCGACCGCGTTAGGAATGAGACCACCTTCCTTCATCTTCTCGAAGATCTCATCGGAATCTTCAGGCGGCGGTAAGGGGTCTTGGGGAATTTGTTCCATTTTGGGGGTTTCCCCTGAGTCCTGATGATGGACTCCAAGCTTGAACTGTTCGAGGAAGCCATGGTCGGACAGAGTATCATCACTCCGAGATCTAGCGGGTGGTTCGCTGGAAGATCTCTCCCCTCGCAAAGGTCTGTTGGGCAAGGGATCTGGAGGGTTCTGCTGTTGACCATTATCGCCCGTTGAGACAAAGCGTGTTGCGGACATCGACGGCATCGTAACACGAATCTTCTTCGCCATCTGCCTCGCAAAAAAGACGGCTTTCACCATCGCTGATTCCAAAGGATTAGGGTTTGTGGATTGATGGATC